CCCCGCGGCCCAGGCTGGGGACGTCTCGCGCCGCTCGGCCTGCAGTCCCCTGGCCTTGCTCTAATGCGAAACTTGTCGTTGGACTTGAGGGTTTGAACCCCGATGTGCCAGCCATCCTGGTGTTACTACGGCTCGAGGAAGCTCGCGCTACTATTGTTCGTGTGTGTTGTGATGCGAAGGGTGGGAGACTCGCAAACCTCCTACCTCAGGCCAGGTTCCCTGCCTGGCGCTCATCCCTCGGATTTGGAATTGGCGACAGATTTGCTGCCGTGATTTCATGGACTGTTATGTACGGTTTCTTATTTGCTCTTAATGATGGGATCATGTGCTCAGCTGTCATAAGTTTAGATCGGGTTTTGCTATGCCTTAAAAAAAAACATCCACTAAAGTTCCAAAATGTTAATGTTTAATATCTGTTCAGTATTCACCGGCTCACCCTGAGAAGGCCACTAACGTGCTGTGGTGGGTGGGGAGGGGCCGCTGTCTCGGGTTTATATTTGGAGCAGTGCAGCGTGGTGAACTTTGTGTGTGTGTGTGTGTGTGTGTGTGTGTGTAACGGTTTTGTGAGGGCCGGCAGCCAGAAAGTAAATTCATTCGTGCCAATTTCATCAGCAGGGAGGAGCCGATGTTGACTTTATGCTTTCCTTTTTAACACTTGCAGGGCACAGAAGGGAATAAAGGAGGGGGCTGTGGCGTGGTGTTAGCTGCCTTTCCCGTGGTCCACGGACTATGTCTCTATATCAGATCTGGGGTTCTGCAGGGTATCCCAAAGATCTGTAATGTTAAACAGCCCCATAGCAGAAGGAGGCTGCTTCCTGGACTCTGAGCTGAGCAGACACCGTTCCACCTGGTTGAAGATGTGAGGGCGTCGCTAGTACCCCAGAGGGCCCAGAGGTAGGCCATACAGAGTAGGCCCACGGGGGAACACTGTTGAGATGTACAGTGGTGGGTAAAGTGTGTGCCGTGGACAGTGCTCGAGGGGATGAAGTCTGTATTAGAAAACATTTGCTGGAGTTATTTGATTGTGTCGATGCTCAGATGGGTTTTCTCCCTCACTCATCAGCCCCTCAGAGCTCTAGTCTGTCATCCTCACCGCTGTTGTATGATTCCCAGCACCCATCACCCATGTGAGCAAATAAGCAGTTCTGCTCTGTCTGCATCTCTTTATCAGGACTCATGGGGAGAGGATTCTTTAAATTAGTTTTCATGGAAATATCGGAAAATATTGTGGAAACACGTGGAATTTTCAGTGCCCAGTTCCTACAGAGGAGGATGGAAAAAACAAGTCCGTTTTAAGTGTCATCACGGTATCTCTGTTAGCAAAGGGGAGCCCCTGAACTCCACAGCACTGCTCACCTCCCCGTGTCAGCCTGGAAATAAGCGCGTATTTGCCTCTCTGAATCTGGGGCAGTGCTCTGAATGTGCGTCCCAGCCCCCTCCTATGCTGGGAGCGGTCACTCATGGTCCCTTACGAACGTGTACATGGGACACACTGCCCTGCTCGATGGCACTCACCTGCCACCAGCTGTCGCTCTCGGAGGGTGAGTAATATGTTCCTGCTGCCCAGAGGATGGCAAAACCACTTTAGACCAACGTGTGCTCAACCCCATTCTCTGAACAGATTTTATAAAAGGGCTTAATGAATTTCTTATTGAGTGTCTGGGCAGAGAAAGGGATGTGTGTGTTTGCATTCAGGAAGCACATTATTGTTTTTCTTTCTACGTAAACCTTGCTAGGCCTGGCCTGAAGAATGAAAGAATCAGAGGTTTGTGGCATCGGCTGGTGTAGCCTCAGCCCCTCTGTGCCACCCCCCACCCCCTTGTCTTGCTTTGTCCCTGCTGAGTTGATAGAGTTGCTCTTTAAGGTCCTTTGGAATTTCAGGTCTTATAAGCACATAAGTGGTTTTACTGGCTTAAATGAGATGAACCAGTTTGTTTTCCAGTATTGCTTAGGAGAAACCAACGAGTGGAAGGATCAGAAATCTGTATTTCTCTACATTTTGGAACTTAAAAAATGCCCCAGCATACCCACTTCCACAGTGAAAAGTCAAAACAAGCCTTCGCGCCGAATTACTTAAGTATATTGCTTTCACATTTCCTGTTCCATCAGGACTCATGGGGAGAGGATTCTTTAAATTAGTTTTCATGGAAATATTGGAAAATATTGTGGAAACATGTGGAATTTTCAGTGCTCGGTTCCTACAGAGGAGGATGGAAAAAACAAGTCTGTTTTAAGCACATCACGTCGGTTGAAAAAACAGGGTGGACTATCAAAGTTCTTACGTGGCCTGTGGGCGGTTAATGGTGCTCATTATTGGGATTTGCAGACAGTGGCCCTGCTTTGGTTGCACTGTCTGCTGGGTATTGCTATCGATGCTAATATTATTTTATTTTGGGGGGCCATTGCCTGCAGAACTCAGGGTACATTCCTGCTCTGCTGGTTGCCTCCTTGTTTCACTCTGCTGTGTGTTACGACCCAGTGCTCCCCTCACTGGGGAAAGCCAGCGCCTTTCCCTTAGAACAGCCTCGTCAGCAGAGAACAGGAGATGTGGCAGGCAGCCCCTCCTGTGGGTACTAGCAGCTACAGTCGGTGTTGTGGGGCCAGGGATGGTGGGTCTGCTCAAATACTTGGGATTGAATGTGAGACGGGGAGGAAGCCAGCCAGTGAGCTGTCCGTTGCAGGATGCCAGGTGGAGTGGCCGACACCCCTTTTCCTAGATCATTCTTTCTTCCCTTCTTTTGCCTTTTGGGATCTTGCATTTTTCTTCTTGGCTTTAAGAGGGCCCACAAGTAGTTTCATTAATAAGTGAATAAGCATTTGGCTTAAGGAATAACTTTAAATGGAAATACCAAAGTAGAGAGGAAACAGAAAACTTCTCAAAGACAGACTTGTTTAAAACACTCGTTTGTTGATTCAGATTGAAGCAGTAAGTTTCTCTGTGAACGGATGATGCTCGTTTCTGGGGCTCTGCGTGCCCTGGACTTGCAGCCACAGGAGGCACTTGCCCCCCTCTTGCAGGAGTGGCTGGGCTCTTCTTTGGTAGAACTAGGGACGTTGCCTTGTGATATAGCCTGCGAAAGATTTGTTGTTTGCACAAGAGACGTCTTTATAAAATATACGGCATGTCAAACCCTTTGTGGCTTTAGTTGTTGGTATAACTACTTACTCCCTACCTTCTGCTTATGGGGGTTACTCAGCTCATGCTCTGCTTGGCTGATTAATATGCCCAGTTACTTTAACTGCTCATTTTATTCCATCATAGAGTCCAACTTGAACATTTTCTTAGTAAGTACAAATCTGCTTGAGGAAGGAGGTGAATGCTAACTGAAATGTCAGCCTTTTGTGCTAGTCAAGGAACCAATAAATTTTTTTAAAAAATTGCAGATGAGCAGCGCACAAGCAGCTTGCACATTCCTGTCACCAAAGCGTAAGATCTTCATGAGATGGCATTTGGAAGGTGTGTGGACTTAGGGCAGGGTGGGGAGCTTATGAGGCTGGAGAAATCGTTTGGTATGATGTTTGACCAAATACAGCAGGCTAAATTTTAAGTTGATGTTATAAATATCCAAATGGCCCTTGGCAGAAAAAAGGTTCCCCACCCCTGATGGAGGGGGTGGCATTTCCAGGGCTATTGGGCCCAAGATAACAGATACACTTTGCTCTAAACTTGAATTCTGTCTCCCCACCCACTTTCCAGCCCCTGTTCTTTCCTTGGAGGTCCCTGATGCTACAGAGCTAACAGCTCTGCGGAAGCTTAAAGCGTAGGACCACCTTCCGAGGTCAGTAAGCAAAGACCCAGCTGTCTCTAATGCCACCCAAACTTTGTGTATATTCTCCGCACGGAAAGGAAACAGTTGATTCTGGAAAACAAGTGTGTAAAAAAAATTTTTTTCCCCCCAGAGTCTCATTGATAATTTGTTGTAAGTGGGCGAGGAAGAAGGGAAGGGGTCAGCAGAGGGAGGGAAATAGAAGCTGTGGGGGCCCCTGAGCCACTCCAGCTGGAATCAGATCTCAGGATAGTTACAAAATGTGTTTACTCTGTTACATCCATCTCACCCGTAGCCCTAGGTATCGCGGTGAATGAAGTGGAGTACTCGGCCTGATGAATGTAAAATATTGTTACCTGCATTAAAAATATTTATAAGACGGCAGCATTGACATGTGTGGGATTTGAAGTGGGTGGACTTGAATGCTAAGAGTTTTTCAGAGCTATGGAAATCATTCCGTTTGAAAGTTCTTTTCTCTGTGAATTAATATAGGTGCCAAGTTTGGCCAGGAAGCTAGGAAAGTAAACATACACACACATTAAGGCATAGATCTGTAACACTGCTCCAAATGCTTATAAGATATTTGCAGTGCTGTACTCCTGCTTAGATCTGAACTTTATGAGGTTAAAGCCGTAACAACAGCTCTATTTTGTTTTAGACTGGGCCCACGGGTTTTATATTCTTGTTATGGTTTGAGGCTACAAGCTGTTGGATGCTATGAGTCACTTCTTGTCTTCCTCCTCCCAGCCTTCTTCAAATGGCTGTCTCTTTTTTTAGAGTTGATTTTTTAAAAAGCAGTGATTTAGGGGATGAGTAGTAGCATTCTTCTGAATTGCAAAGAGAATGTATCGGATCATCTTGGTTTTGATGTCATGTATATGGACTGACTCACCAGTCCACCTCCTAGTCAAATTAGTAAGATCATTTCTAGTTCTTCTCATAATTACTCAGGCACCTTAAAAAAAAAAAAAGCAGATTCTTGGTGCAGTGAGTTGATTTAGTTTTGCACATCAGTATTTACCCTGGGAATCAGGGGCGTGTCATCAGCTGTAGCGTGGACAGCGCCTGGTGTGATGTGATTGGTTTCCGGCCACTTTTCATTGAGTTGGTGCTCTCCTCGCCCTCCAGTTTCTCTCTCTGTACTCCTCTACTTTCAAGGTTGCTGACTTTATCTTTCTTTTGTGATTTTTTTGGTGTTCCATACAAAGGTTGCCTACTCTTGTTGCCAGTGCTCTGTTCTTTCTGCTAAGAACGTCAAAAACTTGTCACCTCTCAAAAGAAGTAATTGCACCAATTTGTTCCTGATGATAATAAATAGGGATCTCAGAGAGGCGAGGCAAACTGGGGTTCCCTGGTAGGGGCTGGGGTGCAGGAGCCAGTGTGACAAGGAATGGGGTTTCTCACTAATGAGCATATGGATACTGCCCTTCTGTCTTCAGGTCCCAGTTGGGGTATTCATTTTTAAAAATATATTTTTATTGATTTCAGAGAGGAAGGGAGAGGGAGAGAGAGAGAAACATCTGTGATGAGAAGGAATCATTGATTGGCTACCTCCTGCACACCCCCTACTGGGGTTTGAGCCCACAACCCAGGCATGTGCTCTGATCGGGAATCGAACTGAGACCTCCTGGTTCATAGGTTGACGCTCAACCACTGAGGCACACCAGCCGGGCTGGAGTATTCATTTTAATAAGCCTTTGAGACAAATGGAGTGGGAGAATGCTGAGATACTGAGTTGTAAAAGTCAAAATTACAACAAGCAGACTTTTTTTTGGGGGGGGGGGGGGTTTTCTATTTAGTTTTTTTTTTTAAATATATTTTATTGATTTTTTACAGAGAGGAAGGGAGAGAGATAGAGAGCTAGAAACATCGATGAGAGAGAAACATTGATCAGCTGCCTCCTGCACATCTCCCACTGGGGATGTGCCCGCAACCCAGGTACATGCCCTTGACCGGAATCGAACCTGGGACCCCTCAGTCTGCAGGCCGACGCTCTATCCACTGAGCCAAACCGGTTTTGGCTGCTATTTAGTTTTTTGCAATGCTATTGAATTCTGTCTTTTGAATATTCTCTTGATACCCTTGCATAGTAACATGGACTTTCTGTGCTGTGTGAATTACAAATTGAGAGAGTTCTTTACTAACGTGCTTTGCACAGTAGGTATGGAACACGGGAAAAACTATGCAAGCTTGTGAGGAATGGAGGGTCTCTGATTGATAGTAGGTAAAATAGGTCTTTCTCTTCTGGGCTTCTGGTTTTAAATCTTGTTTTTCTTTTGCTTCTTAGGTTGGAACTGTTTCTGTGCCTAATGAAGAGATTGAAGACCATGGGCAGATCTAGCTAGTTGTGTCAGCACCAGAGCCAGGGATTCCTTGCACACCCGTCCACAATCATGCACAATTATTATTATGTTTTTACTGAATTGTTTAGTTAGTCAAGTCATAGATTTTTCTATTTATTAGGGACAATTTGTAACATTTAAAATAAAAAAACTGCCTGAACATCTCACCTCTTCCATACAGGCTACTTCAGATGTGCAGCCTCAGGCCTCCACCCGTGTGTGGGAGGAGGAGGCAGGCCTCCACTGTCTGACTCGCTTCTGGACACTTAGTCCTGCCCAGAGAGACTTTATTCTAAAGTCTCAGGGGTGATTCTGAGTGTGTTCTGACCAAACGTCTTACAAATGTTGCTGCCATATTTCAGGAGTTCATACAACAAATAAAGCTTAGGGAGGGAAGAGGCCCTTAATGACCTATGGGGACTTTCCCAGGCGCGTTTGTGGATTAGCTGTGCTTGTTCCCTTGCGTGCACAAGGAGCCTCATTTCTTGACTCTGACACTCTCAGGAAAACAGGAGCATCTACTCTGCGTCCTGGTTTTATTTCCCGTTCCCCTTTCTCCCCACGCTGAGATTCACTTCCCCATGAGAGGAAGGTGGCACGGACCCACCCTGACTGACCACCCTCCGAGGAAGGATCAAGAGACGCTTCCTGGGCAGATAGATTTTGTAGGTCAGTTTCCTGAAATGAATATGGAAATGGAAGCTGTTATGACTTCACCTTCCTGGACGTTTCTGGGTCTTCATGAGTAAATGAATAGAGCATGGCCAGTTGTGCAGTGTTACCATTACCCAAATGCTGACACAGATGTGGCTTATAAGTCACGATACAAGGATGGCAAGTGTATCTCAGAGCAGTTGCAAAGCCTGATGTTGTGACGGGAAAGGAACAGATGAAACCTCTTAGTTAGCCAAATGCTTTAGGAAGGACAGGTTCACTCAGGAGCCGTCAGTTTGAGGGGCTGGATTATATGACACTAGGAATTTAAGCCCCAAAACACACTTTTCACGTGTGGGTGACCTTCTTCTGTGCTTCTCGCATCTCTGAGTCTTCCTGCTTCCTATTTGGGGAGATTAGTGGGAGGATATTGAGATTTCTCTGGGCTGAAGGTCTGATCTGCTGCAAAGTCTTCCTGCTTTTCATACATCAGAGGGTGTGTCCAGGGCTCTGTTGGCCGCACCACCTACAGCATTGTCTCGGTAAGGGAGCTCGTCCTCCCTGCCTCAGTTTCCTGAGTTGTCAGCTGGGTTGTCACAAGGACCAGAGAGGCAGTGAGTGTCACAGTGCCTGCCTGGGAAATACCACGTCTGCTCTGAGTCTCCTCCAGGTGCTGGGATGAGCCCTTTGTACTTCCTACTCCTAGTGCTCCCCTCCCCCCAGTTTATTCGTAGGATTAGGGGTTACAGTGACTATAAGAGTGGCCTTAGGAGAAAGGAAGTGGGAGGAGGAGTCCTCCCAAGGTGCCGGTAGGGTGTGGGAAGCACTTTTACTTCTTCTGAGAGGACTCACTGCACTTCTTAACAATTGCCTGGCCACCTGGCCACTTACCCTGCACTGGGATAATTTCAGAGCTGCGATGCCTTTTTAAAGATAAAACTTGTTTCTTCCTGGTGGCCTTTTTGAATCAATAAGCCTGTTACCCCTCCCCCCACCTCCCAACCACCCTTTTTTTTTTTTTTAGCTCCTTTGCTTTTCAAGAGAAAAGTAGGGGAAGGATGTCCTAGCTCAGATTCTAGTCCAGGTGCACCTGGGAAGGGTGTCCTAATAATTAGGTTCAGCTGCAGACCACCTTGGACCACCTTGGACCTCCAGTGAGAGTTGCTGGAGGAGCTGCCTGGGTAGCTTCTGCTGCAGCCCCCCTCCTCTCTCTGCTGACTGATGAGGAAGCACAGAACACCACCAGCTGTGACTCTGATACATCTCCCCGTAGACGTGCGTGGCACATGGCATCAGTGTGTGTGGAGGGAGGCTAGGCTGACACCTCTTCTCATCATGTCTGATGACGCCTGCACACGGATATGGGCTGCGGCCACAGGTGGAATGACTGGAGCCTGCAGCAGTTCCGAGAGGCCAGGCTACTTCCTTCCGAAGTGGGGAGGGGCAGGGGGGTGACCTGGCAGCATGGCCGGAGGCCCTGTCCCCAGCTTGCCAAACACCTCGGATGTCCTGGGGCTTTGTCCTTACCATCCCTCTGGCAGTTTTCTGCCTTAAGCACCTTTGGGTTTGTGACTGTGAGTGGGATCAACTCTCATAAGCTTCTTCTTTTAAAATAAAAACCAGAGATGGAGTTTTAAGCCTGCCCCCATGTGAACTTAATGGTATTGTAGAAATTATGGCTTCAATTATCCTATATAATGAAAGCATAATATGCAAATCGACCGAACAGAGGAATGACCGGTCACTATGACTGACGCACACTGACCACCAGGGGGCAGGCAGATGCTCAGCGCAGGAGCTGCCCCCTGGTGGTCAGTGTGCTCCCACAGGGGGAGCGCCGCTCAGCCAGAAGCTGGACTCACGGCTGGCTAGTGCAGCAGCAGTGGCAGTGGCTGGAGCCTCTCCCGCCTCTGCTGCAGGCGGGCAGTAAGGAGCGAGGGGTCCTGGACTGCGAGAGGGATGTCTGACTGCCAGCTTATCCCCCGAGGGGTCCGGACTGCGAGAGGGCGCAGGCCGTGCTCAGGGCCCCCTCTTCCCCCCTCCCCAGCATGAGTCTGATTTCTGGGCCTCATCCTCCGGAAATTCTGTTTCTTTGTTACTAATGTTGTGGCCTCACCCCATAACAAAGACACAGAATTTCTGGAGGATGAGGCGCAGAAATCAGGATTTTAAAAAGATTCCCAGGTGATTCTAATGTGCAGCCAAGGTTGAGAACCACTGCTCTAGTGTATAATAACTGACAATTTAAGAGTAACATGAAGTAATAAAGTGGAGCTGGACTTTATGCTAGATTCTTAAATGAGCATTATCAGGCTTCAGAAATATCTTTTGTTCTTTTTTTGGCAAATACAATGGATGCTTAAAAGCTGTTGAGATTTAGTAATATAAAGTAATCTTTAAGGATCTATTTAAGCAAAGGTGTGATTCCATTAAACTTAAGTCATTAATATGTACCCATTTAAAGCCAAGGAAATAACTATCAACTTGCCAGGGTTGAACCTGTTCCTAGTATTACCAATGTGCACTGTAATGGTCCCCTCTGCCTGGCAGCGCTGTATCAGTGCTGTAAAAGTAAGACGTGTTGGTGGGTGGGTCTTATTATTTCATTTTGCTCAGTTCCAGTGAACATAATCTTATTGCAGTGGCTGGGCTTCCTCCACCGACCACAACATTGTCGTTCACGGGGCCAAATGGGAAATAGCACCTGGGGCTGCTTTGCCTCTGATACCAGAGTCCAGACGTGGAGTGTTCTTTCCCTCTTAGTTGCTTGTACACAAATTAACGTGAAAAGGAAGTAGAATGCGCTTTTCTTTTCCCCTCCCTCTGTAGATGGTGATGAGTTATTATTTAGATCTCATGCTAGAGAGGGATGTATAGTGCCTGCTGGTATTTTAGAATTCCCTGTTCTTAGGAAGGTCTGGCCCTGGACACAGGGCAGGAAGCAGCCTTGATTTTGTTTGTTTCCTTGATGACTTGCTTAGTGTTTGACACAAATAGGGTTCTGGATGGAATGCGCTCTCGTTAGAAAGTGTGTCAGCAAAACGGGGGCTTTCAGAGAGTGTTCTTTGTCCTGTGACTATAGGAGAGCGAGGCCTTGGGGAAGGAAGGTGGGTGGAGGGTGGCAGGGGTGGGGGCCCTTTGGTGGCCCTGCCATTTGGCGGGGGGTGGAGGTTGCTGGTGGAGAACGCTCCCCAGGGATAGGAAGCTCACACACAGGGCTGACTGTGTCAGTGGGACCACGGGGCAGTTTTGATAACTGTGACTTATTCTTGAGAAATGTGGGGCGGGGAGTGGTACTTGGAACACCAGCGTTCCGTGAGACTGAGATGTAAAATGAACCTTACAATTGCATGGTGCCTTGTAGCTTTCCTGTTGATCTTTTTTTAGTCCTCTGAAAGTATTTTCTAAGGAAAGGATGTTCTCTTCTCTGTGCAGACGAGGAGGCTGAGTTTCACATGGTCAGAAAGCCATCATGAGCATTAGAAACGTGGTTTCCTGACACAGTGTGAGTGTCCTGGGTGAGCTGGCCGACCTTAGGGCTTGGGAGAGGCGTGTTTTCTTTTGATCAAGGATTGGGGGATCCAGGCTTCTCCTCTGAGACCAGCCCACGGAGCTCTGCGCCAGCTGTGGGTACCCTGGGAAGGGGAAGCAGGGCAGCCCCCTCCTCAGCCGTCTGGCCCCACCTCGAGCAGCAAGTCAGGAAAATGCTGGCTTTTTCTTCTACTTGGTTGTAGAGCAGTGGTTCTCAACCTTCTGGCCCTTTAAATACAGTTCCTCATGTTGTGACCCAACCATAAAATTATTTTCGTTGCTACTTCATAACTAATGTTGCTACTGTTATGAATCGTAATGTAAATATCTGATATGCAGGATGGTCTTAGGCGACCCCCGTGAAAGGGTCGTTCGACTGCCAAAGGGGTCGCGACCCACAGGTTGAGAACCGCTGTTGTAGAGGGATGGAGGCTTCTGCGGCACATTTTCTTAGCTGGCTGCCTCTAGGACTTTGCATTTAAAATCTAGTCTGTCCTCAAGGGGTGGGTCCATGGGTGTTCACTGTACCGCTCCTCACGTTTTTTCTGAATGCTTGAAAATTTCCTATGTTTCTCCCGGAAGATAAAACATAAGAAACACAACCCCTTGAGCTAACTTTTCTGGATGGCAACCTTTAGAATCAGGAAGCCGGATATGGTACGGTTTTATCAGAAATCTTGATCGTTTTGGTCAAGAGACAGTGCTGTTAATTCTTGATTGTGTTGTTTCTGGGAAAAATATTCTGAATGAGTTTCCAGTAATAACCTCTTCAGCGTCTCTACCAGAAAAGAGTGGCCTTTCTCAAAGCTTCCCTGTTACACTAACCAAGGATGATGGTGATCACCTTTAAGCAGCCACTCATCACTCATAGGCCATCGATTTTTATGTGGATGTGGAGTGCTTTTATAAGCGAAGTGCCCGTTCTGATCTTCTCCATCTCCTGCAGGGATGGGCCCACATCTGATGCACCTGAACCATGC